AAATGTTAAAAAAAAAAAAAAAAGATTACAGCCAAGAAAACCCAAGAGCAATGGGTTTGTTTATATAAGTGGCAAGAAACAGGAAAAAATAAATAAAAAGACGCTGTACAGAATTATACATAATCCTTTATCATAAAAAAACAAACCCAACCCACTGCCATCGAGTCAATTCCAACTCATGGAGACCCTGCAGGACATAGTAGAACTGCCCCATAGGATTTCCTAGGCTGTAAATCTTTATTGAAGCAGACTGCCTTATCTTTTTCCTGTGGAGCTGCTGGTGATTTTGAACCACCAGCCTTTTAATTAGCAGCTAGATGCTTTAACCACTATGCCAATAGAATTCTTATCATAGCTATGTGGAAATTACTTGGGTGTTGGGCAGAGGTATTTTTGCAAGGATGTCGAATATTCCTTTTTGTATATTGGATGCCAGGAGTGAGTCAATATGAACAAGCCCAAAAATGAGACACAAAGCAAGTTACCCTCGCAAATTAGAGCAGGTCTCAAGTCTGAATAGATCTTTTTTTCTTTTTTTTTTTAATCATAAAAAGGACACATGTCTTTTAGTCTCATATATTTATATATAAATAAACTGAAATAAAGGGCCTATGAAACAATTGATAAGCTCACAGTGATGAAAAAAAAAAAACTATCAAATGTTATAAGAAAGAAAAATCACAGGAGATATAATAAGTATACCTAAAACCTTTTGTTTTGTTTTTTCTCCGAGCATTTAAATGAGTGCCCACAGTTCTGTCAATTCCTGTAGCTATAGAAAGACCCTGAGAATATGTGGAGAGTAAAACAGCTGCATTACTCTGCCAGATCTCTGTCATTAATCATCGAGAATCACACAGAAGCTAAATCGTGAAAAGTGCAAGCCAGACCACATTTTCAATTTCTCACTGGACAAAAGACTGCTTCAGTTATCAGGACGCCAGCATGTTCCTATAACTATAACTGTGACTGTTGCCCTACAAATGATCAAAAAGTCATCCAGGTATTTAAAAACCACAAAGACTTCATAGAGCTGATATGAACAAGTATTTATTCCTACTTCTCCCAATAGAAGTCGAGAGTGTAGGTCAAGAGCTGAAAATTAGTCATTTCACAGGAATAAGCAATAAAGCTCTTGAACTGCTGTAAAATGGCTAAGTGATACCTCTGCAATTACTGTAAAAGGCACATCACTTATTGTGAAAGCAATCATCAGCCCTATGGACATAATATATCATGTCTGCCAAACCGCCAATACCTGCTAAGAGATGACAAAGGGTGATAGTCATTTGTCATTGAGTCCCAACCAAACAAATGATCTTCCGGTTTCTCAGCTGGAGGTTAAAAGGAAGCTATCATTATCATTATCCTAATTCTCATTATTATTTTTCATTTTATAAAAGAACATTCTTTGCATAATTCCCCAGGGACAAAGTATGATAATAAATGTACATTATAAACAAGAAGGTTATAGATTATTTTGAATTGTTATGTATCAGACACTTCAGTAATCACTTTTCTATAAGTAATTTAATTCTCACAATCTCAAGAGTGAGAGGTAGGATTTATTACCCCCACTTTGCAGGAAAGGATACTTACACAATTTAAAATCCAGTTTTTAAACCTCTACATTAAACCCATTGCCATCAATTTGATTCCAAATCATAGTGACCCTAAAGGACAGATGCCCTATTGGGTTTCCAAGGCTGTAATTTTTTTTTTTTTTTTCAATTATGATTTGGGTGAAGGTTTACAGAGCAAGTTCATTTTTCCAGACAACAGTTCATACACTTTTTTTTTTCCATGACATTGAAAAGGCTGCAATCTTTATGAAAGCAGACTGCCACATCTTTCTTCCATGGAGTGGCTGGTGGGTTCGAACTACTGACCTTTCAGTTAGCAGCCAAGCTGCTTACCCACTGTGCCACCAAGGCTTCTTGCCTCTATCCTACTCTCCCCAAATCCAAAGAAAAGCAATACAAAAACTATCTTATTAGGCTCTGTTACTAAATTATGTATGTGTTACCACAATTAAAAAATTATTTGGTACTACAAGAAGTAGCCACTATTCGTTTAAACTATTTAGAAAAGAGAAGTGTAGCAAATACAAGGTAGTTTTACCCTCTATTTAGTAATCAACTGCCTGGATTCAAGAGTTAACAAATTATATGAGTTGATTAAATGTATATCTGCCCAATCATGGCAGCAATTAAAGGAAAAGAAGGAGTAAAGGAAAGAGAAAGGGAGGGATGAAAGAAGAGAAGGAAGGAGGAAGGTAACTCATGTTGTATGACAACCCTGTGTGTATGCTAAAATCCATTCTGAATCTGCTTTATAATTTCTTTCCATTGTATGGGTTATTTCCAGGGCTTCCAACAGGCATGTTCCAGTTCAACTTCCTGCTGACAATTTGCATTTTCACTCCAGATATACTGAATTGGATCTACCTATTAATAAGCTCACCAGATGATTCTCGTGTATATGTAGATTCTGATTCAGTATATGTGGAGTGGAAATGCAAATTATCAGTAGGGGGTAGAACTAGGATGAATCAGTTGGAAACCTTGATTATTTTGTTTCCATAAAACAATACATTTCACTCTGTTGTTGTTGTTGTTGTTATGTGCCTTTGAGTCGGCCCCGACTCATAGCGACCCCTCCTTGGGTTTCCGAGGCAGTATCACTACAGAAGTAGGATTGCCCAACCTTCCTTCCGAGGAGTGGCTGGTGGGTTTGAACCGCCAGCCTTCTGGTTAGCAGTCAAGTGCCTTAGGCACTATGCTACCAGAGCTCCTATAAAACAATACATTTCACTCTACACACACCAAAAACATTATTAATGAGGATTCTCATGGCAAAGCTGATTAATAGACATACTCTATATCCTTCCAAGATCCTGATTTTTCTAAAGTGCGAGGATGAAAGTTTTAAATGTCACCTTTCACATTTTTGTGTGACTTAAATATTTTCTAAATCACCCTTCATTTCAAACAAAATGATTGTATTAGAAGCCTGATCAGTGATCAAGAAATGAAACCACTATTAATAGTTTTGCAAATCCTGACAACTTATATTTAAAAATGGTTCTTTAGAAGTGTTAGTATTATGTTTAGAACTCATTCTAGTCTGATGTTAAATAAATATAAATAGATACATATATATGTGTGTGTGTGTGTATATATGTATGTTTATATATAAACATATACACATAAACCAAGCTGACTGTCTTTGAGTCATTTAGAATCATAGTTACCCCTCCTTGGCTTTTCGAGGCAGTATCTCTACAGAAGTAAATTGCCCAATCTTCCTTCTGAGGAGTGGCTGGTGGGTTTGAACTGCCAGTCTTCTGGTTAGCAGTCAAATGCCTTAGGCACTACACCACCAGAGTGCCCATACACACACAGACACACACACACACACACATATTGTTGTTGTTGTTGTTATGTGCCATCGAGTAGGACCCGACTCATAACGACCCCTCCTTGGGTTTTCGAGGCAGTATCACTATGGAAGTAGATTGTCCAACCTTCCTTCTGATGTGTGTATATATATATACATACACACACACACACACATATATACATACACACACACACACACACACACACATATATAAAACGTGGAAGGAGGGAAGGAGTTGCAACTCTGGAAACTTTACAAGGTAGTATTTGTTCATAATATCTGAAAACACATTATACATTGACTTCAAACAAGCAAAAAACATTTTTTTGTGTTGATAAGATGAAGACGATACAGGAGATTACTGTTTTCTGTTTGCCTTGATAAATTAAAACTCAAAAAAATCTCTAGGTTCATTATATAGCATTTATGCATAATCAAAAAATGTTTGTGTGTGTGTGTGTGTGCATGTGTGCTGGCCTCAGATTAAGTCATAGTAGCCTACTTTGCAGCAATGGATCACCTAACTTGAAAGTAAATATTTAACAATAGAAATGTTCTGTTCTCTCCCTGGGAAAAATGCCTGTCAAAAGAAATGGCTATGTATCATTTGGCTAACAACACTTCATACCACTTTTTACAACACTGCCTCATACCTTGGTCATTCTGGCAGATGGCCTTCAGGATACGATGCCCCAGACCACATTTTCCATGATCAGGGATACAGATCCCTTCAGATACCAGCCATTGATAGCATATTGCATCTTCACAAGGAACAGATTCCACCAAATGAGGGCAATGTCCCGCTGGCCCTGTGGGTTCCATGAGGACATGGCGCTGCCTCATTCTAAATCCTAAAAGAGAGAAAAACAGAGTTTCACAGGAGTCCACAATTATCTGACAAAGGAAGAATTCAGCAGTTGGGTACGAGATGAAACTTTCACTGGAACACAGCTCTAAAGAGTGTATTAGTTGATGTGTTTTATTTTGCTAGGGATAGGGAGAAGGAGAGAAGGAAATAAAATGAAAACAAACTAGAGCAGGAAATCTGTCTTCCAAGAATTTACAATGTAAAGTTAGAGAGAGTAGGCTTAATGAAATGAAATAATAAGTAGCATATATTCAATGTATCTATCAACCAAAAAAAGTAAGTGTAGACTCGCAGAAATAAAAAATGGCCGAAAAATACCAACAATAGATGAATTTGTATCTTAATTTTCCTGTTGTTTTTGTCATTTTTGTTGATCTGCACTAAACTGAAATTCACCAGCACATTGAAATATCTCTGGTGCCTGACCATTCATAGTTTTCTGCACTGAGACTGCCTACATCACTTCACTGAGCATCCCATATCAACCTGTGTTGTGAAAACAGCCCCTCTGTGGTTTGGCTAGATGAGTTCTACCCTGACTAGACATGGGTTCCTGGACTATAATTCAGGCCTACAGAATCACAAACTCAATATCAACAGGAGTCAAGCAGGAACAAAATGAGGGAAATGGGTCAACAGTAGACTGTAAGGAACGATGGAGTGTGTAATGAAATGGAGGATATGTGGTTTCTTTTAAATGTTGTTAGTTTCCATCAAGTTAATTTCCACTCATGGCAACCCTATGTGTGTACTGGAGGACTGCTCCATGGAGTTTCCAAGCCTGTGACCATTCAAAACCAGATCACTAAGCCTATCTTCTGAAGCACCTCTGGATGGATTTAAACCTTCACTCTTTGGACTAGTTAAGTGCTCAATCATTTACACCTCACAGTAATCTTTTGCTTTTAGATGGCTGGCTGTTATTCAACCTCCCTTGCATGTTGCTGTGAGAGATTGTGGACCCTCTCTTGCCAAATTTTCTGAATTTTGTGTAAGAAGTCAGGCATCCAAATTTTGTATGCATTCTTTTTAAATGAAATTTCTCTTTTTTAAAATTAAAAACTATTCACGTTTTATTTTATTTTAGAAAATGAGCTTTAAAAAAAGTGATTAGAATTAGACCCAACTCTTTTGTCTCTAAAATTTCTATTCAGGCTCTTATGATATTTCACTTCTAAAACTATTCCTACCTTCTACAGTTCTCATATCTTTCTTTCATTCTTTAATACTCCAAATTCAATAAACTAATTAAATTTATTTTTCTTAGGAAAATTGGTTATTTTTCATGGGTAGCACTTTAAGGAATTACTATCCATCCATTTCTTAAGATTCTGATAGGACCATAAGAACATGTGAACATTCAATTCCAAGAATGAGAGTTAGATACCTCAGTACCCTTCCAGTAGGACCAGGGAGAAGGGCAAATTTGGGAGGATGAAAAGTGACAGAGACAGGTACAGCTCTTTCACAGTTTTCTTTTCCCACCAGTGGTAAATGAAATGAAAAAATTACAAGCTCAAAGTGTAGTTGAAGAAAAACACTCCTCTTCAGAAGCACAGCCAAAGGTGTTAGGACACAATTAATAAAAACAGTGGCTTTAGGCCACAAGAGGGAGCTATGCTTCCTTAGAATTGTCCAGGTCTGGGTAAGTATTTTGGGAGCTCTGGTAGCATAGTGCCTAAGGCACTTGACTGCTAACCAGAAGGACAGCGGTTCAAACCCACCAGCCACTCCTCAGAAGGAAGGTTGGGCAATCTACTTCCGTAGTGATACTGCCTTGGAAACCCAAGGAGGGGTCGCTATTAGTCTGGCCCGACTGGACAGCACATAACAACAACAACAACAAGGTAAGTATTTTAGATAGTAAGAAGTGCTTTATTGGGGTTTTCTTGGTGTATGGTAACTGACAACCTCCCTTTAAATGAGACTGTTACTTTAAGATCAGCCACCTATTGGTGCCAGTCAGTCATCCACTACCTTCTTGTTCTCTTTCCTGTGGCATTGAAAATTAAGATCAGGGTGATGAAAAATAATTATATCTATCTATTTATCGATATAGATATTGCTTCTGGCCTGCTTCATGGCTACCTGTCTAGTTCAAGTAGTCAAAATAAACCATGAAGAAAGCTTCAGTTCTCTTCCTGGGCCACTTGGAAAAGAAACATAGGGAACATACAGAACTCTAAACTATACCTGATGAGCATCAAACCACAATGACCTCTGAGCTCTTGATGTCACACAATTTGAATGATCTCTATTGTTAGGTACAAAGCCAATATGCTACTTATTTTTTTATGTTTGTGCTTATTTAGTTTTTGGTTTGTTTGTTTGTTTTGTTACAATTTATTTGTTTAAGCAAGAAATGGTTTGGATCCATGTGATTTATAATTATATTGTTTAGTTATAGGCTCAGAGATGAGCAGAGAAACTAAGCAATCTTTATTTAGGGATTTAAGGTATCCAATTGCAAGGAGCTTAATGTCATTGAGGCGTATGTGTCATTTCCCTCTATAAATCAAATAGCATCCAGCTCTCCATAAATCTATAGATTACATCTTCTCACTCAATAAATTCTTTCAGTCTTTTCATTTGTGGTGCCCTTGTCTTGACTCTAACTAGGATCAAATCATAGTGCAAGCTCAGTGTGAAATAAAATCCTTGGACTCTCTTGTTAGTACTTAACTTTAATCACATATTGGCATTCATGCCTGCAAGACATCAGGCTTCCCCAAAGTGCTGCTCTCCTGAGGCCAGGCAACCACTCGACTTCATTTACCAAATTCCATATTAATCAGGTAGTAAACAAGTTGTTGTCAAGCCAGTTCTGACTCATGACAACCCCATATGTGTCTGAGTAGAGCTGTGCTTCATAGAGTTTTCAATGACTGATTTTTTGGAAGTAGATCATCAGGCCTCTGGGTGGACTAATACTTCCAAGCTTTTGGTTTGTAGCCAAATGCACTGAACATTTATACAACCCAGTGACTTAATCAGGTAGTTGTTGTTGTTGTTTACTCGGGCCAGACTCACAGCAACCCCTCCTTGGGTTTCCGAGGCAGTATCACTACGGAAGTAGATTGCCCAACCTTCCTTCCAAGGAGTGGCTGGTGGGTTTGAACCACTGTCCTTCTGGTTAGTAGTCAAGTGCCTTAGGCACTATGCTACCAGAGCTCCCAATCAGGTAGTATCACTCAGTAAAAATTAGCAACTGTGTGCAGATCACTATACTGTCCTTTGGGGAGCCATGGGAGGAACAGAGCATATAAATATACTCTTTACAGAGCATATAATCTAATAAGAGGAAAGGCACATGCATTAAATAAGCATCGACCCTACATTATGACTGTGACAGCTACTTTACTTACATTATGCAAAATTCACACTTCCTCAAAACAAATTCATGAATTACTATTCCCATTTCACATATTTGGAAAGTAATTCTAAGAGATAAATAACTTCTCCAACAGTATATTAAAACATTAAATGGACGTGTATGAAATTTAGTCTGAACCATTTCCTCTACACAAGAAATGAGTTAAAGTCAGCTGTTTTGTACTTTGTATGCTAGCCCACTTTAAAAAAGTGGTGGTACCTGAAAGTATCATTGGTCATTTCATGAAACTAAAGATCTGCAGATTGAATAGTGAAATTCTGGGGACAAGGTAGCAGGAAGGAGTTACAGTAATCTCTGCTTTACCACAGATTGACCTTTAGTGAAGTTCTAGTGCTTCAGACTTTGGTAGCATAGTGGCTAAGACACTTGCCTGCTAACCAGACAGCTGGCGGTTCAAACCCACCAGCCACTCCTCGGAAGGAAGGTTGGGCAATCCTACTTCCATAGTGATACTGCCTCGGAAACCCAAGGAGGGTTTGCTATGAGTCAGGTTTGACTCGACGGCACATAACAACAACAACAACAGTGCTTCAGAGATTTTTTTCTGAATCCAAGTTTAGGTTTAGTGTATAGTCTGTTGGACTCAATTGTTGGTTGCCATCGAATTGAGTCATATTCATGGTGACCTCATGTGTGCAGAGTAGAACTGCTCCATAGGGCTTCCAAGGCTGTGACCTTTTGGAAGCTGATTGCCAGGACTGTCTTCTGAGGTACCTCTGGAGGGTTTGAAATTTTGGGCCAGCAGTCAGTGCTAACTGTTTGTGTCACCTAGGAACTCCTTATTGGACAAAATTGGAAAAGATTAAACAATGGGTCACAGAGAGGAAAAGGAAGAATATGGATGACAGAAAAGGGATCAATCATTTTTAATGGATGCCTTGGAAGAATTAAAGTAAGGTAGGGAGGATTAATCCCAGGCCAACTCTCTATTTCTGCATGTGCTAGTGGCCTAGAAATGTCTATATAAGCTTCCACAAGGCTATCCATGAGCCACACCGTGTCTCTACACCAACCCCACTGGGATGGCTTGAAGAAATACCCAGCAGGTTAAACAAAGATAACAGAAGGATGTTTCATCTTTTTTGTTTGTTTGTTTTTGTTGTTTAATTGTGGAAGATATGTATGCAACCATGTGTCATTTCAACATTCTCTGTGAGTACAATTCAGTGGCATTAGTTGTATTTATCATGTTGTTCAACCATTATCATTATTTGCTTCCAAATATTCCCATCACTCTTAACAAAAGTTCAGTGCCCCCTAAGCAGTGAGTTCCTCTTTCTCCCTCCCTCCCACTCACCCATGGTAAACACTAATACATTTTGGCCTCTATCTTTCTAAATATTTCATGTAAGTGTAATCAAACACTATTTGTCCCTTTATGACTGGATTATTCCATTTTAAGCACTACAATGATCTTTGTGGGCCCTGTTATTGGGTTAAAACCCCAAAGTAAAAAACCCTGACCAGCCTTGAATCTTGGATTTCAATTCTTTAAAAACCATTCCTGAAGGGGTAACACTTTACATCTTCATTACTTTACACCCTGTTGTGAGTACAGAAAACAAGAAGAAGCATCAATGTGGCAATGG